GCAGATTCCTCTTCTTTAAGGTTCAAAATTTATTTATATTTTTATAGCATTGGCGCATGACGGTTTAGAGTTTGTATCTATTACATCAATATTATGTTTTTCAAATAACTATAGGCTGCTCCAAGAGGAAAATAATTAATTGAAAATAAACTAATGTAAGGAAATTTAAACGACATTCATCAGAATTTACGATACTAACCCTTTCTCATGAATGGTATTTCTTTGGTGTCCACCCGTGGATGTTCAGTATAGTTGACCTTTTTGTTTGACCTCATCGACTCAAAGGAACAGTGTTTGAGAAGCTCGGGTAGATTTCTGTCCGTAATAGGCCATCCGAGGAACGATGCGACTTTCTCAACAACGTCACTGAGATTCTATACACATTAAAGTAATTATATATCCAAATAAATAAAATACATTAAAAAAAAAAAAAAACACTTACGTATACCATAGATACCCGGCCGTATGTCAGATACCGTCTATAATTGATATGTACCGGTACATTAGCATATATTAATTAACTATAAATACAAAATTAATTAATATTTATAAACAAATAATAGGTATTGCTTCTTACTCTTTGCATGTCTTCGTATTTGACGAACAGTACGTTTTTATCGTTGCGTTGACTCCACCAATAGGAGTTCATAGAAAACCAGTCTCCAAAAACAACTGTAATGAAATACACTCATTCATTAACAAAAATAAAGTGTTAAGATAAAAATAACTTCGATAATGATGCTGATGTTAATAATAATGATAGTACTGTACAGTTGTTTTAGTGATAGGTTATAAGCTTCATAGAGTTATTACGGTTAGTAATTGTAACGATAATTGTAATGATATTGAAATATTAATATACGATAATGATATAATGATAGTAACGATAATTCATATCGAGAATAATAAAAATTTATAATACAACAACAATAGGCCTAATAATATTAACGGTTACAACAATAAGCTTATACTGGCCAAGAATAATAAGAAATTATCATGTTAATTAGCTACTCACGATTCCCATCGCAGAAATCATTCAGAAATTCACTCCACGAGTCATAGGTTGGGAAATGTTTTACCATTTTGTGAAAATAGAAGAAAGAAACAGCAGTGTCTTTTGGATTTCTACAGACGAATACAATCTAAGAGAAAAAAAAAACATCTCAAATGTTAACATGAATCCAATTGGTAAACGATTTGCAAGTATATACTGATTGTTGTGAATATTTATCATTAATTATTCTCGATAGTCATATTTGAAATTGCTTATTATTATCATATACTAATTTGAGTAAGGACCAAAATGTTTTACCGTCCGGACGCGTGCACATCTGGAAGAAATATATCATATCACTACTCTCTTAGGTGGCTTTCTCTTATTGACTTTTTTTGAGTTCTATAATGTCCATTAAAATATAATTAAAACTAACATGAATATACAAAATGTTAGACGAGGACTTCTAAAAAATAATTTCCATGGGTGGGTGTATAGTTTAGAATTGACAACGTTTAAAGTATTTGAAGATCTGGAGCAGTATGTCGATCAAATGTCACTCCCAAATCATTACATATACATGAGGGTGCTATTCCATACATTTATACGTCAATAGAGATTTTCCTCGAATAACTGCCATTTCAAATGTTTAATTAAATCTTCACCACGGTAAATAATATAATCGAAATTATTAAAAATAATTCCAGCAGTTCTTTTTTTTTTTTTTTTTTTTTT